TGCGTTTTGCCCCTTCAAATGTGTGCATGCAGTGCTTGCGCTGTTTCTGGAATAGCTAGTTACGCTTGTTCGAAGATGCATGAGCGTGTTTCGCGACTCTGCCCCATCTGAATACCAGATGTGATGTAGTTTGACGTAAGCGGTGCGGTAGTGCGCTTGCGAAAAAAATTGCTTGGGCATCTCACCAAACTGTGAGACGGGGTTTGCTACGTACACGGCTTAACTTGCTTTGTGCTAAGACATTGCAGCCTCTTGCGCCGCCAATCAAAATGAGAGAGTGTCCGAGTTTAGCTCTGCTTTGCACGTAGCCTTTACTTTGTAGCTGGCTGTTGTAACAACTTAGATGTGAACTGTTGAGATCCTCTTGGAGCCCTGCAGTAAGCTTTCTGGCAGGTTCAAGCTTTTAATTGCTTGCGTTTTCATTAGTTAAACATGGCATCCGGTGGAATGCGCTACATGATGCCGTACGAAGCCGGGAGCCCATCAGAACACTGTCCGCGCAGAGATCCAGCAACAGCAGGTCTCCCGGACGGGCACCTCGTACGGATGTGGGCAGTAGACTTTCCTGCTTGGCAACTACATAAAAAATCAGTTGGCCCAATGCCTACTTTGCGACTCTATCCTATTGCCGTCGTCTCCATTTGCTTTCTGAACCACACATGTGGAGATTTATCGTTCGAGGTTGTGAACAGCAATGTTATGGACAAATGCAAAACGAGATCCTGCGCCATTTTGGTGTATCTCTCTCCACAGTTTCCAAGATTTTGGAACAGTCCCTCGGCGTGCGTGACTTTGGTGAGCCCTTGTCTGACAATGAATCCGTATTTTCACAATGCTCTGATTTTAGCTGAATTTCGATCATGCGATGTGATAACAAGTTCACTCCAGATTCCCCTCCCATATTGGAGGGGTGTGTGTGTACCAACCTCTGTACCAAAGAGCTACATCTGTACTGGTGTTCGTCCCCCTATGGACATGTACTAACCAACATTTCCGCCATGCAATTATTACTCATTCAGTTGATTTGATTTGACTTTTTCAAGCAGTTTTCCCTCCCATAGTGGAGGGGTGTGTTTCCCGAAGTGTGACAACCTTTGTACCGAAGAGCTACTGTATCCCTTCATGCATTATTTCCAATATTTGAAACATTCGTGAAATTCAGATTTGCAAGTTAGCAGGGGGGTGTGGCATTTGCATCCTACCACACTCAACGAAGCTGCCGATGCAAGTGGGAAACGAAACCTGATCAATCTTGTGTACCTGCCAACAAAAAGGTCGGCGTGGGCACCTTGAAGTGCAGCTTGTGACCAATACTTTTGCGGTAGGTTTCACATGTCAGGCAGTGCTGAGCACATTAAACTTGTTTATGCATCATTGCGTAAATTCACATGTTCAGTTGCAGTGCAGACATGTCCTTTCAAATTGAGACGTCATTTCATATTTCAGATGTGCACAACACGAACATTCCCGTCGTGTTGTTGCTGAACAAGAGTTCTGGGCGCGTTTGTTGAAAGGTTTCTTTCAAAACCCCAACAGATCACATAAAGTACAATGGCCAGAGACAAGGCCAACACTGTAAACTAGCTAAGTCAGACGATGCATCAGATGAATGCAGACACAACGAAAATGGCAGCCCCCACCCATTGGACCTCATGGTCCGCTCAAGGGCTGGCAGGGTGACAAAGGCCGCTGCGCAAGTCGTCAGGAGATTGCTGGTCGTCCCATGCTGGCCCGTGATTGCTTCATCGCTGTGTTCGATAGTCAGAGTGTCATACGTATAAGACACCGCCCCCGCCAAGTTCAAGTGGGAGGGAGCTGGGAATATCCAAAAGTGCTTTGACAGCAACACCCGATACATTCGCTGAAAGTGGTTTTCTCCGCCCTGTACGCAGCCACGTGCTCCTTGCCCAAGTTTTTCTTGTTGATTCACTCCTCGCTACGGCTGTTGTTCTTGCACCCCGAGTTCGTCGCCAGCACCCCCAAAAGTTCTGCTACAGATTGTGGTTTCCTTATAACTATAATTTGCAGGGTTGGTTTTCCGATGAAATTCGGCAGGCCCAGAATACCTTCAAACAATATTTTATTTCGGGGTACTATGACTATGTTACTTAATATAGTAAGATTAACTCGTACTTTTGGGTATAGTCTTTCATATAATGAATATAATCCTATTGGGTTCAACAGCCAAAAAACGTTACTCAAATGGCTGTAAAATAACTGCTAGTAAAGACCGGTCCACCACCAAATTAACCTTGACAGCCGCACCAATGTGACCCGCGTGGCTTGAAGAGTAAATGTGTTTGAACCGCCCTAATCCATGGGCGCAGCGGGTCACCCCCAGACATATCAAGTAATCATGTTGTGTATCTTTATCAAAAAGAGTTGGTTGGCCACTGTGTTTCAACTCAGTGCTTCGTTCTTCCGACTGTCGCAGCGCTTTAGTGATGGCCGCAACAGCGTTTTTGTCAGTTGCAACGGTTCTCTGATTTTAAGATGGGCGGCGCGTCATTCTCGTTGTTACTCGAAAAAATGAGCTGGAGAGTAGAGGAACGATGTTTTAAAGATCTGCAAAGAAATATCATATATATATATATGCGTATGTATCATATCCATATCGCATGCTTCTCATGCACCATACGGCGTGTATTTTCCAACATATGTTACACAATCAGTTCGTACTGCTGTGTATTACGCGTGCCAAGTTGCTTCTTTCGGGACTATTATTGAATTTGGTTGCTTCGGACACGCTGTGTTGTTTTTGCTTGTGTTATGTTTCGTAACTTATTGCTCATCTTTGCACGCCTTAAGACAACATGTGGTGCATTTGGCACACTGCAATCCCAGCGGCCCCAAATCAAAACAGAATCATACATCCTCTAGAATAGTGCGGGTTTTTCCATGAAAGGTGGCCAAATTCGTTGTGAAAACAATTTGGGAGATCTATCTGTCGGCATTGAATTCGTGCCGAAGCTTCAACGCTTTTTTATGGGATGGTTGTTGGGAAGCCACTCCTGGTTGGCTAGATCAACTTAGACTTAGAGTATCGGATTACATGTGATGTTGAGCGAATGTTACTTGTCGAACAGTATGTAATCAAACTGCCGGACTAGCTGTTGCCATTGAAGCTAGCTGTGTGTCTGTTCATGTTTTGCGTTCAAGAGATGGTGCCCATTTTTCGTGAAGGATGCTTTGGACGTGGTTCGCAAATGCCATGGCAAAAACTGCATATGCTTGTAAACTGTGACCAGCATGCCAATTCAAGATTCGTTCCGCTCGCTGGTTGCATGAACATTGAGCCAGCATGGCTGAAATCTGAAAAGATTTCTACACTACACTAGGTATTTTAACAAAATCTGGCAACTTGTTGCGCAGCATGACAGCCACATGCGTGAAGGGCTGTTTGTGGTGAAAAACATGTTTTGACGGCTGCAGTACTGGGTCCGGTCTGCAAATGGTTGCAGCCATTTGGAGTGTGTGGCGGCGTGTCTGCAGGCATCCAGCTCAAGAAACACATTAGCCATAGGGGCCACAGTCTGCAGGCCTTGGCATGGTTCTCAGAGGAATTTGCTTGCTTCACTGTTGCCGCAAGCTTTGCTAATGCTGACATGTGGCAGCCTGAGTTGCAAGCAGCATTGAAACAACTGTCGTGGTAGTGGCATGTTGTCCAGATCAGTGCTGTGGCTCAAACGCAACATGCAAGCGCACCGAAAGGGCACATGAGTGCGGGTTTGGCCATCCTTGCCCAGCAAATGCACTCGGAGTCCTGGAGGGATCGTGTGGTGCTCATGTGCTGACGCAGTGCTGAATGTGAAGCAGCTGTCGAGTTCTGGTGTGGTGCGAGTGCCAACAACCGCTCGCGCTTCTTCTTGCTGGCTGCGGTCACGGCAAGCAAGGGCCATGAAAAGACGCTACAAGCGCCCCTAGAAACCTGGCTGGGCTTGGACTATGTTTTACTAGCCACAAGTGGCTGTTTTCCCGTTTAGTGGAAACATCCTGCTCGCGTTGCCCAGGGCGGAGCTGATGTTGCAGAGATCACCAGCTTGGCACGGAGACCGAAGCTTGCATCTGCCGTGTTCCGGCATTCATATTTGGGATACAGATGTTCAAAACCATGTGCCGCAACTAGCCTGTCAGACGATCTCTCCGAGAGCACGACTGCTTTAATGCATGTTCAGTGCAAATTTTTGACGATGATTGTATGGCTGTTGTTGTGAGGTGCTGCGCTCGTGTTCAACTGATGGAGCTGCCTGGAACCTACTACGTCGACTGTGCGATGAGCGGATGGAAGCAGATGTGATACTTGGAATATGAAGGAATTAGCTACGTTGTTTTTGTTCATGCCCTCTGTTTTTGGATGCCCACACTCCCGGCAGCCAAAATAAAAGGACAGATCTAGCTCTAAGGGTTCACTTTTCGAGCATGATCGGTGTGGATTGGTGCCAAGCGCTGCGGCTACGCACGACAATGGCAACAGCCAGTATCACACCAAATGCACTGACCTTAGTTGCATCATCAGGTAAAATGCACGTGCCCCGTAGCACCATCCTGCCCGCAGGTGATTTTTGAAACACGCGTGGTGAAGGCATGTGCGCATGCTTGCTGGTTGGCTGCAGTGCAGCTGCTCTGCGAGTGCGCTGTTCAGCCCGCACCTTGACTTGTGTTCAGACTGGGTTCTCACGTGGCTGAGTGGCTGTCTTAAAGCCCTGAAGCAACCTTAAGGATGCGGTGCTCCTCAACTGTGCGATGACAGCGACACAGGGGCGCTGGTGGCAGGCTCTTGCGCATTTGTGGCCTGCCAGGGTTCAGTGAAGCCTCTGGGTGCTTCTCTAACTCGTGGCTTTTGAGCAAGCGCCACATGGCTTGACTCTAAGGCATGCGGGCCCTACTCTGTTTTGGACACCTGATGCCGTGGCCATGAACACAGCCATAAATTCCTGCTCCTTGTCTTGAGAGTTTTTATCCGAGTGATGTGTCGTGCGAGGCAACATGCTTCAGCAAAGGTCATCCTGGAGGTAAGTGGGCAGTGGCCTTGCAGCTCCTTGGAGGCTCTGCTTCGCGGTTTCTTGCAGTGTTGAGACATTGGTTGCCTGTGCTCCTTTGGTAGATGGATTTATCGCCAGATGCCATTCAATTCGAAGCTGAGTATTGTAGACGGCTGGACAATTTTGGCAAGTGATGCAGTCTCATTTTGGCAGATTCGGCCGGTGACTTGATTGCTGTCTCCGGGGCCATTGCTGCCGCGCAGTGGGTGCTGGCCGTATGCCTTCTCAGCACCACTGAAGAAGTCGCAGCAGAGTTGACACCAACTGGCACTGCTGTTCTCACAGATCGTCAAAGGTAAAATGAATCCCGCGGCCCTTATCCCCAACACGATTGTCTTCAATTCGGCCTTGAATGCTGCTGGGCATGATTCTGGAAGCTCTGCCTACCCGAGGGTCACATGTGAAAGAAAGCTTTCCCTCGTCTACTGAGAGGCTTGTGAGGAGTTTGGTCTCTGGCAGCGTGCTGCAGCGCTGCTTCATAACATGTCGGCCTCGACGGTGCTGACTGAGCCTTGTCTAAGCTCTATCGATCTCCTAAACTGGATGTCCTGAAAGGTTGGATTCGCTTCGCTGAGGACGTCATCAGCCTTACCTCGGTTCTACGTGCCTGTGAGAGAGGAGGTCGCTGGCGCCTTGCCCTGTCCATGCTCTTCATCATGCGCCAGGCCGGCCAGGTATTCCGAGCTACAAGTGTATGGTGGCTTCCAGTCACTTTCTGGACATGGGTTTCTACAAAGGTGTTCTTGTTTTTGATGTATCATTAGTCAAGGCGACTTGCTCTGGAGCCTGGATGTGTCAGATTGCAGAAGAGAGCTTAGGCCACCACCTATGTAATTGCAGCACTGATCGGCCTGATGCAGGAAGCAGTTCTGCCAAGTGCAGTCACTTATGGCTGTGTTCTCAATGCGTGTGAGTTTGCGGGTGTGTGGCAAATGGCGCTGTTGCTGCTTGCTGAGATGGTTGCGAAGTCGCCTTTGGTCCTGCAAGATAAGCTTTGATTTCAGCCGTCGTGGTTGGGACAAATTGTTACTCCACACATTGCTTTTGTGATCTTGAAATCCTGTGCCAAGATACCAGCCCAACAATATCATCTTCAACACGGTGCTCAGTGCCTGTGAAAAAGCTTGCCAGTGGCAGTGTGCGCTGACTCTCCTTATGAACATGAAGGAGTTTCAGGCAAGGTTCTGACATTAAAAGGACGACATCAATGATGCTTGGGTCCATGCAGGTGCAGAAAGACGTGATCAGTGCCAATGCTTTGGTGAGCGCCTGTGGTGCTTCAGGGGCATGGATTCTGGCCTTTACTTTAGACAAGCGCCGACCAGTAGAGTAGGTACAGATGCAACGCGACACGTGCTTTAGTTAAACCCGACTTGCTCCACTTCTTCCTTGACCCTTTCAAGCCATGGCCCAAGGCATGTTCCTAGTCGCCTCCGACTGTGTCAATTAATTGCAGGTTCAGTACGGTTCGGAAATCTTGTGCGGCTTCCTCGCAGAACTGCCATAGAACTAAGCAAGGCTTTTTAATGCTGCTCTGGCAAAGCATGGTTCTCCAAAAACGTGCAGGGAGTTCTGCAATTTCCGCTGAGGGCACCGGCACTGCTGCTCTTGCATGGAATTGACGCCGCATGTCGTACCAGTGTAAGCTTTGCAGGACGGGACGGGATGAACATCTGATCCTAAGATTCAGTCAATGGTTCTTTATTAAGCTGCGCATGTTCCGAGAGGTTCTGTGGCTGCCTGTGCGGCGGCCCAGAGATGGACCTGGGCGGTCCGACTGCTGATGGCCATGATGGAAGACGGTCTTGTACCTGATATGAACAGCTTCCATGACTGAACTGGCATGCGGTGAGATAGCAGCAGTCAGTAACACTACGCTTCTTGTTCTGTTTTCACCGGGATCGCTGCTTCCGAGGCTTTGGCACTGCTGTTGATGCCTGCAGCACACTAGGGCGAAACTGGTCTGCCACTTTCCTGGACAAGCTGCAGCTCATTGCATGTCGGCAGCTTGCAGCCCATTCAGACGTGCAGATCGAAAAAGGATAGATGTCGACAAGTAGTTGGGCAGCTTTCCCGCATCATTTCAACTCCTGCTCGCACCATTCATTGTGTTTGTGAAGGGCCTGTGCACCGGAGGCTTTGATGGTTCATTTGCAATCCGAGGCGCTAGGCAAAGCTTATTTTGGATTTTGTTGGTGTTTATTTCAAGTTCTATCTGAAGTAAGTCAGGTTTCCGCCATAATCGATCAACTGTGAGCACTGATCACTTCTCGACAAAGTCCCCATCACGTTCTTATGCAAATAGGGAGGGCAGACAAAGAGGCGAGCGGAGGAGATTTCGGAAGATGCGCGCAGGTAAGTGTAGAAAGGGCTGTTCCCTTCACATGTGTAGTGAGGAGACGGCATGAATTGGAGCGTGTGCCATATGCCAAAAGAACATCCTGCACAGTGCGGCAGGCTCGTATGGAATTTGCCCTTGTCGATCCTGTCGTGGTAGAAATCAGCTGAATCTACGGTGTCGTCATGGTCCTTTTTGCCAGAGGTTTCTTGCTCTTTTTTGGCATAGCCGTTGTGCTCAAGCACGGCCCCAACTCGGCACCACCAAACGATCACATCGGCCATGTATGTGCTTGGTGCCTCGTGCAGCTAGCAATCGGGCAACTGCTGGGGGTGCATCAGCAGATGGCCCTCGAGACAGCACATGGAAATCACATCTGAAGCTAGGCCTTGCAAGTTGCTCATCACTTTTGCGCTTGAATGTCTTGCTTTTCAACGAGGCTCCAAATAACTTTCGAACACTCTCAGCGCCTGTATGCTGGCACTCGTTTGCATCTGCAACCACTGTCTGCGCAGATAAGGAAGCTGCTTGCAGAACTTGAGACATCTCCGGGGCTTGTCCAGGCCAGGTGCCGAACGACTTGCATGGCATGAAATGGTGCATGGTCTGACCTACGCCTAGGTTCAAGAACAGCTTGGAAAGTCCAGTGTGCGCCTTTGGCACTCGGAGCCCCGCTTGGCCACGATGGTGCTGAGAGGATTGGCCAAGGCACGTCTTCATGCTTAAGCCCTCAAAACCCTACCTTTTTTTTTAACTTGCTAAGGAGAAAGGATTGATTAAAGAGTTACTTCTCTCAGCCAGGCTAAGCGGCCAGACGTTGCCATGAACCTCTTGGAGGCATTGGGTCATGTCGTGGCGGCTTGTAAGGACAAAGCATGTCAAGCTCTCAGCAGATGTACTGACGTAGCAGGTCATGAGGTCTTGTGCCGCCTTTTGGAAGCAACAAGTCTGGGCTTGTAAGCAATGTTTGAAACACGGCTGTGCCAAGGTCGTGGTCAATGTTTTCCACTTCAGCAGCATCATCGCCGCCCTGGCTGCCTGCGAGAGGGGGGAATCCTGGCAGCTGGCCATTTCCACACTTTGCGGGATGTTGCAGGCCATTCCCCAAAAGTGCATGAGGCTGATTTGTTTTCGAAATGCTGCAAGGCCTTGGTGACTCCAAATGATGTGACTTGCAACAGACCCTCAGCTTCTGATTGCCATTGGTTCATGCCTGACTTTTTCCCGCCCCACTTCAGGTGTGATGCATGCATGCGGGAGATCTTCGTGGGTAGTGGCTATGGAAGTGTTCCGTGTGACGCTTTGCCTGTTGTCTTTCTGCAGCTTTGTGCAGTGCCTCATGCAGTCATATAGCACGTGCTGGGATGCGTGCTCAGGATGCAAGAGGAATCGTCAAATGTGGACACTTGCGGAAACACAAGCTTCCTGCATATCAGTGATTCCTTCCATCTGTTGAAATTGCAGGCATTACTTGGCATTAGTCCGCACATGTCTGAGGCTTCAACACTTGCATGTATGCCTGCTCGACAGAATGGCGCTTGCCGCTTGCTTTGCTCAGGCAGGGCAGACATTTTGTCCTGTACAGCATGGCTCCAAGCGAAGCGAAGTGAGTCGATCAAGGTCAATGGCTGGGCGCAGGGTGGTTCCAAATGAGATTTCCTATAGCATTCCTATGGCAGCTCCTCGGCAGCCTTTATGCACTGATCGGTTTGGAGTTCTCTTGATAGAATGTTGTGGATACAGCTCAGGGCTGTGTCTGGGACATGTCGCTGCACCTGCTTAACCAGATGGCAAGCTTGGACCGCATGGCTTTCAGCGCTGCCTTAACTGCAGACGGGAGCCGCCAAGGGATCATCTGCAGCTGGTGTTCAAATTGTGATTCCAAAAACACACGAAGCCTGCAAGGAGTTGGCGTCCTTGGGTTTGGGCTCTGGAGCTTTTTGGCCGACTCCGCTTCCGAGCACTCCAAGCAGATGCTGTGCTCTACAACGGAGTGGCCACTGCCTGTCGTCCGACCAAGAAATCTCCAAGCCATTTCCAGCTCCTTGTTTGCCAGCTGCCATCAGCTTGATAGTTCCTTGAAGTGTTTGGGCATTCTGATTGATGTTCATATTTAGTCTCTCTTTTGGCACAGGACCAGCTGGCAACACGCCGTTGGCGTCATCCACTCCATGACAGAGTTGTCGCTCTTACAGAACGTAGTCAGTTACAACAGCCCCTTGTTAGCAAGTATCAGCAGCTGTGGATTTTGCAAGAATTGGTTGCACTCAAGGTTCCATCGCAGCTTATGGGGATGGCAGCCAATGTGTCCTTGCAATGGAGCTGCTGCATAGCATGCAGAAGGTCAGAGGCCTAGAGTCTTAGAGGCCGATGTCTGTAAGTGGCCCAGCTTCAGCTTTGTAGTGGTCATGTGTGAATGACTTCCATGCAGACTGAAGGCCGAACTCCGGGCCAATCTCTTTAGCTACAACAGTTTGCCTCTTGACAGCAGTCGCTGAGGTAACTCCTCTTTGAGAAATTTCACTGGATGCTGAGTGTCACAATCCTGTCCCTCCAGACTTGTTTCCTTGTCAGCTGGTCTCTGTCCTGCACAAGAGGTGCCTGCCCTGTAGTGACCCGTGCAATTGGCACTTTGGCCAGTGCGAGCAGATGCAGACCAAGCAATACCTCAGGATGTCGGCCTACCAAAAGGGCAGTGCTTGGGAGATGTCCATGGACTTGTTGGCCGAGAGCTTGCATGTGACAAGGATGCATTGTACGTGGAGGATATGGGTGCACGGTGGACAGTCATGAGCGCTTTGGTTTGCAGCTCCCTGGCCTGCCAAAGGTCGGTATACAGCCAAATATCATGAGCTTCTCTGCTGCAGCATCTTGCCACAAGAAGAGGTTGCTGTGACGTCAAGGACATAATCAATGCAGTTTGCGTGGAGGCCTCATGGGTGCAAGCACTGGAGCTGATGAGAGCTCTGTTGCTTGGTTCAAGCACAGTGTCAGACTCTGTGCTGCTGTGCTGAATTATGCAGTTCACTTGAGCAAGGCCTCGCAGGCAGTTGGAGAACGATTTCGTCACCGCAAGCGCTGCTGCTGCCAGCTGCGCTGAGGCGTCGAGCTTCACCTCGGATGCCTGCGTAGTTCTAAATATGACAGAGAAGGCTGAGTTTGCTGGTACTGGGCTCCGTGCATCCGGGTTCTCGTGCTTGCAGGTCTTAGCTTGGAAGTCAGCGCTGCGGCTTCTCGGAGCAGGCTTGGTGTTTTCGAATGCTGTTAGCAGCTCAAACACATTGCCTGAGGCCCCGCTGGAATGGTGGAGATGAGCAGTGCTGTGATTACCTCGTGTGAGAAGCAAAGTTGCTGGAGGCCATGCACTTACCTAACATGCGCATTCAACGGAAGCCCAGCATTAGCTGTTTTTTTCCCAGGAGCAGATCAGGTTTTGTTGGATCCTGCTTCACCCCTGAATGGCCAACCTTGGAAATCAGAGAGCCCTGAGCCCAGGAGCATCACCAACCCAACATCCTGTCGCCCGAAATCCTGCAATCCTGACACCTTACTGCGCTGTATTCTAACATCCCAAAGGCTCAGCGCCCTGGAGTTCCAAAGATCCGATATCACGAAAAACCCCAAACCTTTGAAAACGTAAAAGACCGAAGCTCGCTCCGCGGGCCTGATTTTAACAATCCCGAAGCCAAGATTTAGCCCAAGCCAATAAACGTGAGAAAGCCCAAAATCTGAAAATTCTAGAGCCCAAGGCCTATGCGCTTGAACCCTTGAGCCAATAACTGTTGAAACAGGCATCGAAACATCATATTACAGTCCCCAAAATCTAAAATATATTGTTTTTGAGGCTTCAAACAATGCAGAGTTCCCAAACATCTAGCCCCCAACCCTAAGGGCCCCAAACTGTTCACGAGCCTCTGCAGCAATACTGGTTGAAAATGAACAACTTTTTGGCGACCGGAATCCGTGTGGAAGCTGTAGGCATTGGAAGGCATGTATTTGCAGAGCATCCACTCCCAAGCCATAGAGACGTTCATCCCCAAGAGCATACGGTGACCAGCAGCCCTGCCCGAACTGTGATAACTTTATTTTTTTGAGTGAATTCGATAACCCGAGCATCCGTGTCCAAACCATAACATAGGAATGTTCACATCTGGGAGTCTGACTACCAGAGCATTCATGCCGAAATCACAATAATGATCATTTTCGTCTGAGTCAATTTACCAGAGCATTCATGCCCAAACAATGACAACTGTCATTTTCGAGTGAGTCCGATCAGCGGAGCATCCATGCTGGAACCATAATATTATTCGTCCCTGAGACCATATCAAGAAAGCGGTTTCTCTACATTATACGTACTACTTCATGACTCAGGGGCAGATGAAATTGTTGTACTGTCAAAAGCAAAAATTGTAGTGCTCGAGCAACTCCGTTCCTTTCGAGAACTCTGCGTACTGTCTGGAAGAAACGAGCACGTGCACAAAACAACAGGCCCGAGGTTGCGTGTGCGTGGCACAGGCAAATCCTCTGCGCTTGCCAGCATTTTCAGCATGTCACTATGCTTGCAGACACTGCCCAGACGCAATTCGGACAGGCAGTGGCAGCGTTTTCTGAATTTCCTAGACCCCTCAGTTCAAGAGAATGCTGGTGGTTCACCATCCTGCGCCCCCTTTATGGACTTTTCAAAAACGTGCGCTGACTAACAAAATGCCTGATCCCTGGTGCCTGCCAGCTTCTTTCTACACTTCCATAAATGTCTGAGGCGGGCGGGAAGGCCCTATCCACACCTACCAGAACCCATGACAAACCAGGTGGGGGGTCGGCGAGCGGAAAGGGCGGGAAGGGCGAGGGTGGGAGGTCGGCGGCCGGGAAGGGTGGGAAGGGCGAGGAGGGCAAACCGGGTGAGGGGTCGGCAGACTACCAGAATCCATGAAAGACCGAGCCGAAGGTCGAAATCTATTGATCGATCACAAACTGAACGGCTGTAAACACAGCTTCACGGGCGCCGCCCCAGCAAAGGGCGGGGGATATGTCGGGCACTCGTTCTCTGCAGCGCAAGGCACTTGGAGTTGCTACATTTAAATCCTGTCAGAACCCTAGACATATAGCACCCAAACAGGACAAGCAAATCCTGAACCCTGGAGTTCTAAGCCATTATACTACCGGAAAATCGTAAAGTCTAAGCCCCAAAATCCCCTGAATTCAGAAACCAAGTGTGCGATGCCGGCAAATTCCCTGAGCCGAAATGGAGACATGGTAAATCCTGAAACCCTCAAAGGAGACACATGCGGCTGTTGCCGCAACAGAACAGAGTCCCACGTTGCAAATCAGAACAAGTAAGCTGAAAATCCTGAAAAAAATTGCAACAGTTGCAAGGTCACAAAGAGGTAAGCAAACAGGTGCAACGAAGTGCTGACCCGTTTTGCGGCACTGGTCCTCCGTTTTCTTCAAATTGCAGTTGTTGATTTGAGCTGGTTGACTTGGACGAGGCTTGCACTGGCAATCCTCCGGGCAACGTATGCTCCAGACATGATCAGCATTCTGGCAGCATAAGTCTTTCGATGTTTGGCTTAAAGCGTACTGCTCGAGTTGTAGGCCCAAAGGTAGCGTGAGCGAGCTTGGCAGGCTTTGGAGCGGCCATCGCTGCTTGCACACAAGCCGTCCGGAAGCGGGCTTCAACATTGTCATCGTTTGGGATGTTCCGACCATCGCACCGTCCAACCTGAATGCACGCTTGAGTCTTTTGTAATCCTTGCATGTTGATATCCTGGTGGTCTTCTTCATGCTGGCTGTAGCTGCCAGCTGCTTCTGCAGATTGCAGATAAAGCTTTGGACCGCCAGAGTGCAATCACATTGGCAACAAAAAGAGGCGATCGCTGAGAAAAGCCTGGCGTGACCTGCTAATATCGAGGTCTGCCATGATGTTCGGCCGTGCGTCTCGCTGCATGCGCCCTCGCCACTCGGGCAAATTTGATGAAAGTTGGAAAGTTTGCTGCTGAGACAGTTTGAGATGATTCGAGATGAGCCAGGCCTGGCCCGGCATGTCTCTCAACTGCTGGCCGAGCCAATGGCCTGGAATCAGGCATTTGGAAAGGCAAGGCAGGAATCTCACGTAGAAGGCGTTAAGTGCCAGGCACCTGTGACTGTCACCGCACTCCCAAATGGCGTCCGTGTCGGGGTCTTGGGAGAGCGGCTTTACCTCAACCACTTTCTGTTTGCACATAAGACTCGGAGGTAGCGACAAAGGAGACCTTCGCCGAGGCATACTGAACATACTGCTGGAAGCCTTTTGGCGGCCTTCTCTTTGTCTCGTCTCATTGGTGGCCTGCACTTGACATGGCTCAAGACCATGGGTGATGTTTGTAATTTTCAACTCATGCACTGATTCGATTGCAATACTTAGGCATTGGTTGCATGGTTGAATCATTCCCCCTTTTTCGTGCAGAATCCCAAGCAAAGATGCCTCAGCGTGCGCTGGTGATCCCCATTTCAATGAGGCAGGGGTGCTGAAGAAGAACCAATCTGCCCAGTTGATGTCATGCTGCAAGTTCTGTTCTGGCCCTCTTGCGTTGGCCTACTTGTTGCTGTCGGAGGCCTCATTCGTCCTCCTCCTTGCCGTCCGCCTTGAAGCAGTTGCAGTCCTGCACCACAAGAGGCACATCTAAAGACTTGTGCCATTTGTGCCTGTGCTTGCTCGGTACCTAATGTACCTAGTATGCCCACAGCCCTCCACAGCTGATTTTTCTGGCTTTGAAGGGTCAGGGCAAGGAACAGAGTCACTTCTTTATGAGAGCGTGAATGCTTGGACAGGGCCACGCCCGCAAGCGATTTTTCTGGTTCTACTTGGCAACTCGGATTGGAACAAGAGAACACTTGGCAAGTCTCCTTTGGAGATGACACGATTTCTCATGTGAAGGCTTCAGGTTTTCGACTGACAAGCTGACGGCCTCTCCTGCTTTCACAAAATATTGAGCAGGATTTCATTCCTCAGGCTTGACTGAAAATTTAACAGCATTAAAACAAAGACTTGCATGAAAAGGCAACGCTTTTAAGGTTTCAGATGTTGTGTGAACCGGTGTGCTTGTTGCTTATGTTAACTGTTACTGCCGCAGCCGGAGGCTACATCCTGCTGAGGAGTGAGACTTATCAACTTAGGCTTCCAGTATAATTTTAAGAAGGTTTCATAAGGTAACACTTGTGGGTGTATGCCAAAGTGTTGATCTCAACGAAGAAGCGTTAGACGGAGGATCAAACACAGCTTGATATGGACTGTACACTTCTCCGATACGTGCATAGTAGCCTTTTCCAGCTTTGCAGAACGGTCCACTGCGTTATCATTATCCCTCCCACGAGCTGTTTGCCCATCATGTGTGGTTCTGAAACTGGCTTGCATCTTTCTTCCCGAGGAGCGTTTGCAGGTCTATTTGGGTTTCTAGTGTAATGCAGTTTTGCGGGTCTTCTTGCTACGTAGCTTCTGCAATTTTGAGAAGAACAATATGGTGAGCCACGAAGGTGTAGTCAGGATTCTGACTGGGAGATCTGCTTTCGTTTTCCCTCATTTGAAGGTTGCAGCAAACAAGCATTCCGGATATGTGAATGCGCATGATCCCAGCTCCAAATGTGCGACGCAAACCAGTGCAATTTGCATGTGCCCAGGAACGGACTGCAACTCTGTTCCTCGGCGGCAGAGCTGAACAAGTGCAGCCAGTTCAGATGGACAGTCCATATGGCTAAGCCATGCTGGATTAGCGTTCAGCTTTGCCTTTTTCAGAGTTCTTTGCAAGTGAAGACTTATTTCACAGATGGTTCTTAGCCTATACATTGCAATGCTCGTGCTGCAAGGAAAGCTCCTGCGATCCACAGTTGGTTCGGGAAGCATCTTGGCTTTTCCCCTCAGAACGCACAGGTCATGTATGATGATACTGAGCACGTGACGTCAGTCTGTCTACCGGAGTTTCTAGAGCAAATTCTGGAAAATCCCGACTTTCTGCTTGATTGAGATCCTGTAGAGAGAATAGGTGGACCCCAAAGAGGGGTTTTCGTTTAATCGAGTCCAACAGGATTCCCTGGGGTGACCTTGTACGGCACATCGACGTCTATTATTTTTTGAAAGGGAATTCCGGCTCAAATGGTCAGTTATTGTTTTGCATGGTGCATGTTATACCATAATCTCATCATATCTCATCACAGTTTGCTACTACAGAGGGCTTTTCTTCTCCTGCTAGTGGGTTTACAGCCGAAGGGCTGAAAGTACTACGAGGGTTGAGATGGGTTGGGTATTCTGAATTTAGATGCAAATCGTAAGATCACGCGCTCAACTATGTATTTGTTCTCCCACGAAATTTAGTCGGGCAAGACATGCAAGAATATCTTGCGGGGCCTTACAAGCTTGACATGGGCATGTGTCAACCTGAGTAGGTCGTCCATATCCCTCTGTTGCGCGAACATTGAGGGTAGTTCGGAGGGGTTTCAGTTTGAAGCATGAGGCTCCGAAAAAACGGAGTCGTCCGAAATTTTGGCAAAGCTGTGGTGCTCAAAGCTCGAGTTGTCTGAGCTTCAAACCGAGAGCGCCCTCAAATCATGGCGTTTTCCGCTTTTCTTTGCCGCTGTCTTTGCGCTGCAAGCTGCGCTCCTGATTCGGCCTTTGTTTCTCGATAAGTCTCACCTTGGCCATTCTGTGCAATCCGTGGTCGCTGCTGTCTGTTCAGTGGTTGGGGGGGTGCTGTCAGAAAATGGTGCTGCTCATGCTGTAGGACGTGATGCTTCTCGCAGACTTTGACTGTAGGAAGTGCGTCTATCGCGGTCGTAGGTGCCACGGTATATAGGTGTCAAGGGAGCAGCATGCACGCCGCTCAGGTCATCCAGACTTTGCAACGGATTCGGCAGCCCGTGGTTGGCGTTGCGACCCCCGGCATCTGCGTGATTTTTGCGGCTACCGAAGTACAGTAGCTGGAGTGCCTGACCTGTTCAGAAGTGCCATGAACGAGTAAGCCAGCGCAACAGTTTGCTCTTGGAAAGTACTGTTTGCTCCGTGGGTTTCATCTCAGGACTGCCTCTGTCTGCCACGAAGCCACGGAAGTCTTGCAGCGTTGTGACTACGTTTTGTCATCCGATGATGCGAGTTTTTGGCTGAAGGCGGATGCACAACATCTGGGATCTGCGTGCTACATATAACATATACGTATGCCTATGTGGTCTTCCCCAAGATCCACATTCATATGATTGGTGTTTACATGTCTCTCAAGATCTGTTTCGTAACTTGATAAGCTGAGCATTTTGTAAACTACTGTGTTTTTGATGCCTCTTCAAAACAAGCCAACGGCCACAGAAGTGTTCTCCGTTTCGATATTCCCACGAGCAACAGCGTGGGCTTCAACGCATTTCGAACTAAAGTCTATGAGTTTCTTCTAAAGCTCGATTCCAAAAACTTCCAAACCCTGGATTCCTGAATCTCAAGTTTTGGATAGGAATTTGATGTATGTGAATTCTTTTTCAATTTTAATCAGGCGTGATACGGAAATTGCTGGATTTCCGGTTTCTGAGAGGATTTTGGTGTAGAGGCATTCCTCTTCACCTTGAATTAGAGATAGCACGAACCCATGATTCCTGGTTGCTTTAATACAAAGTTTTTTGCTGATATTCAGTCCAGAACCCAAAAGAGATCTCTCACCTCGAGACCACATTTTCCCTGTTTTTGGGCCGAAGCCCCAAAATTAGGTAAGGCAACAGAAAACACAACTTTTCCTTTTCGGTCTGACTATAGTTTTCTTGTTGTTGTTTTCATTTTCCCAAACGCTCCGCAGAAGGGTTCCCGTTTTAAAGGTCGGGCTGCAGGGGTCCAGGGGAGGAGGTGACCAGAAATCGTTGCGTTTGGACAGGCATGGAGAGGAAGGTGGAGAGCAGAGCAATAGCGTGGTGACTAGACAGGAGAGGAGCCTAACCTCCTCTGCACCAGATACTTGTTAACTCAAAGTCAGATTTTCGGTGACCGGCTTCCGGGCAGCCATACAAAGAATAGGACATGAAACGCATGGTATTAAATTTGTTTTGTGTTCTCGCATATGCCAAAACTCTAGGTGAAAGCCGTTCTCGATGCTTTGCTTCTCTAATTTTGGTAGTTACATTGATTCAGCTGACATGTTGACTTGATATCTGGAAAGATGATCCAATGGTCCATACTGACCTAGAAAATCCACTTTGATGGAGCCCATTGATTGGATTCGGATGTCAAGTAACAATCACATCAATACGGCTACTGGATGAGTTGGCTTAGTTAAAGGAGAGATCCGATCAAGTGATTGACAAACAGAACAGATAGTTCTGGCAAGCCCACCAACTAGATGACATCTTGTGATTAGATGGAGATTTCCTGGCTAATTCTGCATGCCTGAACCAGAATGACGCCCCAGATAAATGGCTGCACTTGATGAAGCCATCCAGTCATCAACAGTCAGTCATTCCGCTCATGAGGGGAGTCTCCATTGACAGATGTACTTCTCACGCGGAAACAAATGAGGAAAGCTATGAAATGACTTCCTCATTATACGTTGTCTTGGAACTTGTAAATCCTGAAATTAACATGCAGAATCTTGTGCAACTCGTACTTTTCAGAAATTGCATGATCGCAATCTTTGCTTCCGATAAAATCTTGTACACAACTTCTATCATTACAGCTTGCAAGCCTTACAAAATAGACGGTTTATTCGATGTCAAAAAATAACCCTGAATACAGTGTTTTGAGGATCTATAGAGCTGGTAAGCTTCATGGTGGACCCTAAACCCTATACCTTACGCCCTAAACCCCCCCATAAGATGGATCAGGCTCATTGGATGAAACAGGTCAGTCAGATTCACCAAGCCATGATAACTTGAATGGATGGGTCTTGTGAACCAACCATGTCGATAAACCGATGAGTCTAGATGAACCAGATTACGAGGTGGGGCCAAGAATCTCGTCAATCTGGTTACTGGATGAATTTGGGTAGCTGGATCAGGGATCGGGCAGAAATGCAATGATCTTGGGAAGTCGACTATCTTACGTTCTCTGATGGCAACAACTAAGCTTATGGAAGCTAAGCTTCTGCCGCACCAACCAGCGAGATTGATATGTGTAAGCAGAATATCTGGGTTTGTGCAATGAAATGTACCAGCCTCTACCCTTCCACAGTTCCGCATTTTCACCCCCTGCGTTTCCATATTTGCGCGTGTGTGCAGGGCTATTGTGCTAGAATCTGCAACATGAAAAATGTGGCATGATGTGGTTGTGTGCAAATGTTTAATGGTAGAGGGTGGACATTTGGAAATACGGAAAGGTGGAAAGCGGAAATCTGGAAAAGTGGAACTCTGGAAAAGTGAAGCTTCCAGTATGAAACAGGGGAAATGGGGGCTGTATATGTATGGCGCAACATGCGCAGAGTGCGTGTACTTTACATATGGGGGTTTCCCAAAATTAGGGGTACCTTATAAGGGTTCCCCATAATAAGGATTTACATGTGCTATGTATTGTATTGTTCTATTTGCCAGGAGCGCTGCATCTCGGCCGCGGAGGCTGTGGCCCAGGGTGTGGCGCAGCGCATCCTGCCAGCAGTGGCCTCGGTGCTCCGAAAGGACCTGATGCTTACTGGTTCTCAGTAGAGAATAAGGGAATATAATCGCTATGTGCGATTTTCCTTTTTTCCCTACTAAGAACGATTAAGGATGTTCAGGTCAGCTCACTCTGTCAAAATGTAAGTTTTCGTTTGGACCTTGCCCCTCAGGTCGCTGACATTGGATTCTTGGCTGCATGTTCGGCCCGGGAAATATTTTCTGATCTGGAATGTAGGAATCGATTTTGTGCAAGAAGAGGCAAAGGTGATTGCCTCTACCCTGCCTTCATTCTGCTAACCCATCATGTCCTTGCAGGCAGAAGGCAGCATGGCCTCTTTTTCTTTCATAAGCGAGCGGGAACATCACGCTCGCAAACTGCAACAAACTCTGGACTCTTTGTCGAGATGATTTTCCTGAGATTCCTCAACCGAATAATGTAAGCGCAGTCAGTGAGGTGCTTTCAAACTTCAGACAAGCATTGGAGGAGATCCTGTTCGTTGGTTGAAGCTAGGGTGATGTGTGGGCATCTACTAGCCGAACAGGGCACGAGCCAGGAAAACGAGGCACGAGCCAGGAAAAAGAACAGTACGAGTCAGGCAAAAGAAAAGGCACGAATCAGGAAAAAGAAAAGCACAAGTTAGGAACAAGGCCGCCAGTCGGGAAAAACAAAAGGCACGAGTCAGGAAAAAGGCCGCGAGTCAGGAAAAACAACGGGAAAAAGGCCGTGAGTCAGGAAAAACAAAAGGCACGACTCAGCAAAAATGAATGGCACGAGGCAGGAGAAACCTATGAGTCAGGAGAAAGGCAGGTACGGACATTTGTCAAGAACACCTTCTTGTCACCTTGCGAGAAGGAAAGAGAAATGACAGCTAAGAGAGGAAGCCAGGTACAAACAAACGTTAGAACAGCCTCCTTTTCACCGTACATTAAGTAGAAGGACATGACAGATGGAAAGCCGGGTACAGACACATGTTAAAGCCACCCCCTTATCACGTTGCGATAAGTAGAAAGACATGATAGATGGAAGGCCAGGTACAGACGTATGCTGAAACCACCCTCTTCTTACCTTGCGAAAAACAGGAAGTTACGACAGAGGGAAAGCCAGGTACAGACATCTTAACCAGGTAGTGGCGCCTGTAGTGCGCGTTGGTTCTGTGTACATAGCACGCCTGTGGACAGTCAAAAACGCCAGAAAACGCAATATTCACAGAAGGACATGTGATGAGGCAAAGCCGGAATCCCTGAGACGTTCTATAGTCGTAGAGGAAGAAGCTGTCAGAGCTGAGGCAACAGTTCGTTTTTTGCGCAGACTCCTTGCGAAACTTTGTTGTACATCTTGGATGGCGCTTTTCCAAAAAGATATGTGTCGTGAATTCCTGAGTTCCAACAGAGCAAACCAGCGAACTGCTGGAAAATCACCGAGCTTGAAAGATTGTGCGATATTCACGAACATTTGCGCAGTGTTCGAGAAGTGCAGGTATCACAGAAGCAGGGAACGAATTGCAGCACAAGTGGAGTTGGGGGATTATAAGGGATTGTAGGGGGCCCCCTAGACGGATTCTGTAGGGTCATATTGAAAAATGCCTAAATGTGGATAACATACTCTGATTGAATGGCTTACCTGGTATGCGCTTGCAAGTCAACCCCTGCTTCGGGTTCAGAGTTTGGTACGCGTATTCTGCAGTGCGGAACGTATAGGTTGGATGCAACCCCCACCCTTTAATAGTCATATATGGAATGCCGATTAAATTTTAGGGATTCAGGCTGAGCCACGTGCTGCTCGAAGTGCCTGCTCAGACAAGAACGTCATTGCCTCCCCCAAACTCAGAAGGCCCTGAAAACTACCGCGAACGCAGGACGCGTTAGGGGCGCCGTCACCTAAAACCACCGCCCTATCACCTTGCGAAAAAGTAGGAACACGTGACAGAGGGAAAGCCAGGTGCAGACATATCTTAAAGCCACCCCCTTAGTAAGACATGACAGAGGGAAAGCCGGGTACAGACATATGTTAAAACCAGCCGCTCTTCACCTTGTGATACGAAGGAAGACATGACAGAGGGAAAGCCAGGTAAAGACATATCTTAACACCACTTCGTTCTTACCTTGCGATAAGTAGGAATACATGACTGAGGGAAAACTAGGTACAGACATATGTTAAAACCAGCCGCTCTTCACCTTGTGATACGAAGGAAGACATGACAGAGGGAAAGCCAGGTACAGACATTCGTGAAACCCAGTCCCTCTTCATGCTGTGATACGAAGGAAGACATGACCGTTGAAAGGGAGAAAGGCAGATACGCACATATGTCAAAGTCACCCCCTTCAGGAGAAGACAAGTGAGAGAGGGAAGCAACGTCCGGATAATATTTGTTAACACCACTTCCTCCCCTTTCGATAAGTAGACAGACATGACAAAGACCAAGCCAGGTATACTTTCTGATAAGTAGAAACATGACAGAGGGAAAACCATGTACAGCATACGCTAAAACCATTACTTTGCGATCAGTTGGAAGACATGACAAAGAGAAAGCCAGGTACAGACATACTTTAAAACCACAGAATTTTTTTCCGACTCACGCCTTCCTTTTTTCCCGACTCTCGCGCTCCCTTTTTCCCACTCACGCCTCCACTTTTTCCCGACTCACGCGTTCTCTTTTTCCCGACTCGCGCTTTTTCTTTCTCCCGACCCACGCCTCAACCTCTACTAGCCTCTACTTGGCAATTGGTTTGCCATGACACTTTTTGTTTGCCATTGCGGGGAGGGCTGATTTCTGTTTTGAGCTGTGCGACATAGCACAACCGCCCATGCAAGCCATTGTTGACGTCTGCCGTCCGTGGCCTTGAGGCTGGGAGATGGCCATGCTGGCAAAACAGCTCCAGGTCATGACTGCCGATTCTCGGCCAAACAAATGGGTTAGATTGTACTGTTGTAGCTTGACCTTGCCTTTTTGCATGTTCTGTTTCATCATCCGTGGCAAGCAAGACGTTGTGCGCTAGGCAGAGTTGGCCTCGATCAAGGTGAACTGGCTTTGTGCCAAGGCAACACCGGTCACAAAGCTCCGTCTTTTTGAGTTCAAGCTGACTCATCTGCCTCCCTTGCAGGCATCGCAGGTCCTGACTTCACCCATCAAGGCCCGCACCTTGATCTCATCCTGCTTATCTTGCAGAATACATCATGCCTGTCCTAGCACTGCCTAGCACCGTCAGGCGCAACAGCCAGCAGACAGTGATAGGCACCTTGGCAAAGCCCTGGATTGCCAGCACAGTCCTAGTTTCTGTTTTTTTGGGTCCTAGCGACGGCTGAGTGGATTGTAAGATGCGAGTGCTACAAGGAGCTGAGACGCCGTCCAACCGTCCAACTTACCATCCTGGCAAAACCTAGCTGCGCACCTCTCCTTCTTCTAGATTCTAGATGCCATGCGACATCCTGCAGAAATTTCGTTTGTTATGCTGGGGGCTTTCGGAGTAGGATCAGCTTTTCCTTTCGACATCGTTGGACTCTGTCTACAGCTGCTTAGATTCTTGCCAACAAGTGTTTCGCCCAGGCAATGGCCCTAACAAATTCACATGGAGTTTGCCTGACTGTTTCAAAGCGGAACTGAAGCTGTTGCGAAAGCTGCATGCCCTAAGTCTGGATGTGCACTGCGTTGATACATCGCCACGCACTGTGCAGTTCAGGGGCAGCCGGGAACATTGTAAGATAGCTCTTGTAATGACAGCAATAGGTGGCCAGGAGACGGGGAGCGTGAAGGGCCCTGCTGGGAAGGTTGCTGCTGCTCCTAACTAGAATTAGAATGCGCTGATTCCGCTGGGGTTACCTGGTTACCTCTCAAAACTGGGGATGGCCTCGGTCATGGACCTGTCCGCCAGATCTGCCCTTCCCCTCCTTGTTTGAGGCGGTTTTACACGCTTGTAGTGTGCTTATTGGCCTTCTTGCAGACACTCGCGGCATGCCGGGCGCTCTCTCATACAAAAGGCACCGAAGGAAATGTGCCGACGCCCCAGGCCTACCGGATCACTCGTACAAAGTGAGTTAGGAGACACAATACATTTGACTCGTCCAATCTGGTGAGCACTTGTCGATCAAAGTGCATGTCAACAACAACGCTTCAGATTCGCAAGACGCATGTCCTCCCAAATGTGACAGCTGCTGCTGTCCAGGGCAAATGCCTGCATGACGTGCGCAAAGAGGTGGGTTGAGGTGGAGACACTAACAATAGTGTTGCTGTTGGATCCTCGGGCCTAGGGGAGCGGCCAAACGAACGAGGATCCCACATGAACAAAAAACAATGAGGCCTGACTATATTGTGGCAGCAAGTGACTTTGATTCTCAAGGGCGTGATTTAATCACGACGCGGTTCAAAAAGAGCGGGGCAAGGGTTCGGGCCTTGGCCTAGAAACCTGGATTTAAGGAAGGCTGCTAGCAAAGTGTTTTTGTGAACCTCGCTGTCCCGCGGCTCTCTGATCCCCAATCTGCCTGGAGCTAGCAGGGCCTGTGTAAATGCTCCTGCTTGACAGCTTCCCTATGGAAGTCACCGCCGCGTCAATTTAATATAATCGCTGACGGCCGACCGCCTCGGCGAGTGTGGTCGAGGCGAGAGAACATGCTAGCAGGGACAGCGCACGGGTCGCTGAAAGGAACAGCAAAGGCCGGGTCCCAGACTTCCCCCCAGGTGCCCCCCCTTCCCCGTGTTGCCTTGGGGGTCCGGACCTGGATCTAAAGGCCCGGGCCTCTGGCCTCGGCGGATTTCAGGTCATAGGCCTGCACAGTTCCCTATCCACATTGCCTCTTGAACTAACTCGGCTGCTTCAATGCATCTAAGGTTCGCTGGAACGGAGGCTGCGCCTTTCCGTCATGGTCATTCTTCAACTCATGATTTTCGACCTCTGTGTCAATTGCGCACTGTCCTGTCGTCGCCCTGCAGTGTTCCCTGCTGGCTGGAGGTACTTCTGGCCCGTCCTGACGTAGCCAAAAAGGAGTCCAGGTGCCCGGGTGTAGGTCAGGCGTATGTCGCCAGTGGTGAACCTTGACCTACTGTAAGAATGACAGACGCTGCAGCTAGCGGGGTTCCCAAAAGCAGGGTAGCTGCTAGCGAGTGAGCTACCGCAAGGATTGAGAAATTCATGATGTGCTTTTCCACACGCGCACGTTAGCACCACCAACCAGACTCATGGAGGAGCTTCTGGCGAAGCCTGACAGCCTCCACCATACCAGAAATCGACGAGGATGAGGAGGCAGAAGAGGAGGAGGCAAGTTTGGACGCGTTCCAAGAACCTAGAAGGTCTGGCCTGGCAGATTCATTCGTGTTGGAATGTGCCCTTGGTTGCTCCAAAGCGCTTGTTGTTCATATTTCCCAACCCTTCACATTCTAAGGTGGAATTATTGCAAGCCCTGGATCTCCTTAGACCAACAAGAATGGGAATTCTGATTTGCAGGTAGATCCGCCTTAGGCAACCTGTCCCTAAACATCTGATGCATGTGTCAAGAAAATGTCGCAGGATGAGGGCATGTCTTCGACTGCCAGTGCGTGCAGCCAAGCGACTCGATCTTTCACCGGCGACTCAGCCATGACTTCGGCTGATACCGGATGCACGCCGCAGTAGACAAGGAATTCGCATTGTCCAGTACTTCTTTCCCAGAAGGAATCAGTTTTTTTTTTGGCTTTGCAGGTGCCTTGCAGCATGACTTGCCGATATCTGCTGCATGGCAAGCTGATCCTTGCAAGCTTCCTTCCAAGTTTTTGTCAGTTCCCAATGACATAGTGAAGCAAATTTTTCAAGCTATGTCAAAAGCTATGTCAGTGTCCTTTGGGTTCTACCAGGGAAAGCGGAAAACGTTCCAGGCTGCGGCGCTTGGCAGTTCGGCTTGTCGAGACCGGTAGAAAACCCGAGCCGACGTGACGCAAGGATAGAACGAGGGTTGAACGAGTTCTGGGGTACTTTTCATGAGCGCTATGGGTGGATGAACGCCTGCGTCTTTTCTTTGCCGCAGGACCTGTCTTTGCAGCACGTCGAATGCATCACCCACCAAGTTCTCAGTGCTGCTTTATCTGCGAGACTGCGAGAAGTATTTCTGTTCAAGTTCGATCCTAGGCCTTGTGCAGCATAGCTTAATGGTCTCCAACATCCTCATCTAGAGCTCGCATTGCAACCCAGATTTTCACCGTCAGGGTTGGCCAGCAGCAAAATCCACTTCAAGTACATTCCTTTTGGTTCGTGTCCGCCTAGTGGACCCTCTGCCTGCAGCTGTTGTAGATTTTGCCCCGGCAATTTCTTTCGCACACAGTGGCCGGCAGGGCTTGCAGCCTTCCTTTCCCCAGATTTCCAACAACATGCAATTCTGCCTGCTTGCCCTTCGCAAGATTTGCGAAGAGAAGTTTGCACATTCACAGTCCAGCTGTGTTGCAGCAAAATAGGTGGTGTGACGGCTAAATGCTGCATAGCTTTAGGTGGGTTCGGGTTGAGCGAGTGCTTGGAACTATGACGTGCAAGTCAAGGGCAGATCTGATTGCGGTCCAGCAACATCCTGGCGTAGTGACGTACTTTGTGACTGGTGCTCACGGTGTCATGAGAACATTTGTCTGCTGGCCTTCAAGTTTACCTTTGCCAGGTTTTTCTCTGGACGCAAGACCAATTTCTATTTGTACAGCTCAACGCCGGACAGTTCAGCAGTGTGGTTGCCACGTGCAGGAAGATGGCTGCCCCCCTGGCATATGAAATTTGTACTTGTCGAAAGTATGCTTAAAGGCTTCGTTACTTGCCTGCTGCCAATTAGGCAGAGCAGCCATCCTTCCCGCAGACCTACATCCCCTTGGGGGTAAATCAGATGCAAAATTCTCACGAGTCATTCAAGTAGAGGTCATGTAGGTGGCATGTGAAATGCAGTGCCTTTTTGTCTTTTGACAGAAAGAGAGACACGCTTTGATCAGACTGCCTCGGTCGGCGTCTATCTGGATGCTGGCGTTGGGGGCTCGACCTTGCAATGTTGTTTTCTGTAAGCCTTGTACGGCAAGATTTGGAGTGGCGATGACCCCGTTCAGGTCCGGGACGAGACGAAGGAGACCAGAGGCGACCTTGTAACGGCTTTGATGTATGGAGGTAGATGCAGCTTGCTGTGGCTTGAGAGTTTACCATTCATGAAATGTGAGTTGGGTATGCAAGACAGCCTATACATGCTCCAGTCTTGCTGAATACATCAAGGTGTACATCTGACATGACCAACAGCGTCTTCTCACCATGCTAAAACTAATCATGTCGTCATCTTTTCTATGCTGCGACATCTTTGTGGCGCTTGAAGAAACAAACTTGTGAATCTGTGCAGCGAAGCACACATCGTAGCTTAAGACCGCGTCCAGGATGTTCTATCATCTGAGAACATCATACTTCAAGTCTTCAAGTGCTAGAAACGGCACATGAACACCTGTTTCCGCTTGCCAAACAGCCATGTGCGTTGATTCTCGATAAACCCACCACCGCACGCAGCCGCGTGGAGGGAAAGCCGCACGTCTACTGCCCTGTGGTTGGTTGTCCTGCTGCCGGGGCCAGGCGCTTGCACCTCGCTGATCATGCTGTAGGCTCGCTGGCTGGAGATCCCTGCCGGCAGATCGGCGCTGCGCGGCGGGAGCGTGTGGCCATTCAGAGCTCTGGGTTGTCGCCACACTATGGCAAAAGCACCCGCAGCTCCACCAGCTCTGACCTCCCAACCTGGCACTGGTGCTGGACCTTTGTGTCGATGTGGCCTACCTTACTGAGGCTAATTATCGTGTGCTTGCCGATGGGAAGGTTTGGCTGAAGTGGGTTTGGCTGGAGCGCGCCTTTTCGTAGTTCTCACAAGCTTGGAGGCGACCTGCGGCAATTGCTGTGGGGGAAACCTTGCGGCACTCGGTTGGCAAGTGCCTTTGCGTTGCTGTCAAGGAAAATGCACTGACCCGCTTTGGTCACACTGCAGGTTAGCGTTCCATCATCCACACCGTCTGTCAGTGGCTCGGCAACGAGGGTCTTGCTCAAGGTTGCTTGACAACGCCGTCATCCTGCGCTTCCGTGTCACCAGCTGATGCGCCCTACCCCTGTTGTGATGGCACGGCTGACGGCCTTGGAGACAGTTGCGGGCAGTAGTGGCGGTTCGGGGCAAGTCTGCCCACTGCCTGGATGTTGGTGGTGCGTGTGAGGATGGTATTACACGGCGCCCTCCGGACGTCTATACTTGCCACTGTAGGACCTGAAGGGCCCGGCCGCCTTCGAGCGCACAGGGTGTTTTGTGCGGGCAGGGCACGGAGGACTAGAGATCTTGCGTGCTGACTGATGCTTGATTGCTGTCATCCACTTGCTCTCACTTTCTTTGTGGTGACTGGGCGGGGCAGCCGCGTGGCCGCGCTCCGGGCCGGAGCCGTGGTTCTTTCCCTTTTTGCTTCTGATACGGGGGGGGGCGGCATGGACGCTCTTTCTTTCAACTTCCATGCAATGCTGCTGGACATGCGTTCAGCTTTTGAGGTGGTAGCGCAATATTACTGAATATTGCAAATCGATGAAGAGAAGAAGCAAGGAGCAAACGGGGCGTATTTAGTTGGCAAGCGCATGGTTGCCTCTAACGCTGATTTTTCAATCCGTGATGCGTTCTCCGCGTTCCTTGGAACGCAAGGTTTTGACCCAGAGAACAAATGGTGTTTGGCTTCCCTTTTCAAGGCCGTTCAGGTGGAGACCGTGGCCGTGGCCTTCATGGCTCGCGCAAAAGCTCCAAGGGTTATCGCCCACGACCCGCTCGTCCGCAGGCCGAGATAAACAAGGCCAAAGGTGCTTGCAAAATCTGTGGTTGCAAGGAGTGGAGACTGCAAGTGTCCGGGATATGAAGGACTTCATAGGTTTCGTTTCGGGTTTAGGGTGTAGCAGTGTATCGCTTGGCTCGGCTCAGTAGCGATCTTGCGGTGAAAAATCTTACCAAAAAGCATGCCATTCAAACAGACGAATCCTCACAGTCTTCGATCGCCTCGTGGCCAGCGAACAGGGGTCCTAGAGCAGGAGATATTCCGACTGCTGATGGCGCAGATTTCTACACGAACCTGCGACTTGACAAACTAGGCTTGCAAGAGTACTCTGATTGGTTGTTTCAACCAGGTGACTCAGGTGACCTGGTTGCTGTTTGGACTTGCGTTGGGTTGCACGCGCAAAAGCGAGTGTAGTAAAGCGGAGTGGCGACCTACACCAACGGGTTTGGCTTATTTGGCGACACCAAAAAAAAGAACAAATCCAATCTCAGCTTCAGGAAGCAAGACCCTGAGGGGCCATGGATGCTGAGGGAGGGCAATCCGTTGTCCAGGGTCAAGTTCACATGTCAGCAAGATAACCTGTCCGTTTGCTACGGTTACGGCCACGCCGCGCGAGGCCCAGCACTCCCAGGCCGGCTAGCCCCAGTAGAGTTTGATTAGCTTGGCCGCCTGGTCTGGCTGGTTGTCAACCATATCATCATCGGGCACCTTTTGCCATCCCCATCCTTTCTGAGCTATACTTTATGGTATCATCAGCACCAAGGAAACTGGTGGCAACGGACTAAAACGGGTCGGTGCCGCTGTCTACTTCAACATTCAGCGCAAGCACTGTCACCTCTCCGAGTTTCGAGGGGTTGGAGAAGGAGTAGGTGAGTAGGCCCTAGAAGGAGTAGGTGAGTAGGCCCTACTCAGAACCAGGCTATGCGCCGACATGATCTCGTAACATGTGAGCCCGGTTCTCACCGCTGCGGCCGTCAATGCACATCATCTGATTCGTGTTCATGTCTGCTGCTGGCGTGTCACACCTTTCCTGCAGGCTTGTCGGCAGGATGTCTTTCTGGCTGGGACTGTCGAAATCGACGTCTTAGCGGCTCTCTCTCTCTCTCTCTCTCTCTCTCTCTCCAGGACGGTGGAAATGAATTCGTTGCTGCGGTGTCCAAGCTGAAAGGTACTTGAGTCCAAGACAGAACGCTTGCACTTCAACTTTGTGCGCCGCTATCAAACTGACCTGCTGCTTGTGCTGACCTTGGCAAGAAGACGGTGAACAAGCCAACGTAAGTGGAAGTGACAAAGCCGCATCGATGCAGGCTATCGTGGCAATAATGGTCGGAGCCGGTGTTGCCGCGTCTCCCGAACCAAGCCCCAAAACATAAGTGCCTTCCTAGGTTTCTCAAGATTTGGTCGTGCAAGTTGTGCAGAACAAGGAATTGCGCGGCTTCCAGTTCAACCGACAAAACTGCTCCGCGAAGATCCTCGCCAGTAAGCGTACCTACAGAGCAAACTGCGCCCAGGCCGGTCACTGTGATGCCCACCTGTGCGGCGCCGCTGGCTGCAAAAGCTTCTCAGCAGGCGTTTCCCTTGCATTTCTGGCCTGCCCCTGCGGATCCCCAACGTGCTGAGGTCACTGCTTCCTGTGATCCGGCTGCGCCTGAATCCATGGCATCGTCGGCGCGGTCTGCCTTGGCCGTCCTCCGCCTGCGCTTTGCCTCCCACGTTCAACTTATGGGACAGGCCTCGACTCTGTTTCTGCAGACTCTAAAGCGTTGCAGCTTCAGCAGCGGGCTGTGGCACCCTATGCGCCCTCTAGTCTTTCTGCGTGTCTGTCTGCCTGGGAATCCTGGGCAGCGTATTGTGAGTCGCTCTGCCTTTCCTTGGGCACCTCTGGACGGGCTGTCCCCGAATGGCTCCTGTCTGTCGCAAGTAGTAAGCCTGGATTGCCCTGGCTTTGGTCGTACAGTCTTCTGTTTGCGAGGCGTTTTTAGTGCCCACTGCCCCTGTGCCTTGCCGAAAGTCATTGCCGTTCAGCATTTCTTTCGTCGTCTGGCTCGAGAGGGATGGTCAGCGCCCTCTTCTGTTGTGTTTCAATCCGCCGCTGGTGCTCTCACGGGCTTCGCCGCCTGCACCAAGATTACCTCTTCTCGCGCGCTGTGGGGTTGCCTCACTCTGGGTCTGTCTGGCACGTCGACCTCGTGTTGGGGTACACGCTTTGTCTCCTGCCTGCAACAGCTGGGACGTGAGCTGGACTTTCTTCTGCCGGCTCCTTTTATGTGGGCCGCTCCTTTGCCTGCGCTGCAGCCTGCATCTCTGTCCTGTTATGTTTGCTCATGATGGGCCGGAGATGCAGCCTGCTTTCTGCCTGTAGGTCCATAGGTTCTGCCGGTTCTGTCATTCCTGCCTGGGTCTGACTGACGGTGACTTACCTGTCACTGTTCATATTCTGCCACTGGACGCATACACCACAAGGAAAAGGGGAGCGCTGCTTTCTGCTGCTGTTCTGTCTTCCTGTCACTGAAACCTGAAGCTGACGTAACGGGCTAGTCTGCCTGCCAAACGCAACCATAACCACCGCTATCGCCATGACCAACATCAGTGCCATCACTGCCACTACCATGGCCGCCAGTATTGCTGCTCAAACTGCTGCTGCTGCTGCTGCTGCTGCTGCTGCTGCTGCTGTTGTAGGGTCCCTACCGCATATAGCTGATATTTGGCTTCGGCTTCCAGAGCATGCAACAGTTGCGGAAGAGCATGGCAACTTCAATGGCTTGTCATTGTCCAACATTTGCTTTCCAACTCCCTGCTGCCTCTACTGCCTCTACTGCAGCTGTCCTGTTACGGCAGTATTTATCAACTTGAAAACTGTTCCGTGACATGTGCTTGGCCCAGTGGCTGCCACTCGTAACTGTGGCCCAGGTGCCACATACTTGTTGGAGCAGTTGTCCCTCGCTGGCACTGCCAAGAGGTTGGGTGAAAACATCAATTGTGTTTGCGTGCATGCAAGTGCGACTCCTGACGCGATGGTAAAAAACATTTGGCTAGGCCAATGGCCAAGCTTGAATCAGAGATTGAGTTTGTGTCTCAGAGCAATGGGATTTGCCCGTGCACGTCTACACGTCTTGGACATCGGAAAGCCCCCAGGTCATTGGGAGCCACTCTGGACTTGAGCTACGGTCGAGAGCAGCCCCGAGCCCAGTAACCCAGTGGAGCACGGCACACATTTCTTGGGTGGCATGTCATCAAACTTGGCGCACTGCCGTTCGAGTTCCGCCTTCAACATGACCATGTTCAAGGGCGACCTTGCGCAGGCAGACATCAGTGAACAGCTTGTTTGCCGCTGCATTTGATGATTTTGTGACCCGCACCCTGGGACCAGGGTGTTGACATTTTGGCAGACATGGTGACTGCTCCCGTCAGATGCCCAGCCCGGTTGCCAGTAAATTCATGTCCGGCTTTTGCGCGGTAAGGCCTTTGGCAACCTGGCTAAAGAGAAACAAGCGATCCTCCGAAAGCTTGAGGACGTGCCTTCATCTCAACCTTGCCAACCTTTGCTCCTATCTGAAGATGTGTTGTAGTGCTTCTGGACATCGTTCTTAAGTACCAGAGTGAGTTGTGACCCGCACATGTGTAACACGAGGACGCGGAGCAGCCAACCCGTCAGGTCATTGATGACAGGCAAGTTCTTTCCTTGATGCATTGCAGGTTGTCTCACAACACGACACTCCTTTGCCAGCTAGATTTGTGCCGCTGTATCAGGCTGCATGCATGTGCCTTCCGCGACTACTCCCTTGGCTTCTCCACAGTGGGACCTTTCGAAGGCATTGAAACGTTGACGCAGGCGGTCAGTCCTTCATGGCGCAGATGACGCAAATGGGTGTGCATTGCCAGCAAAGTTCAATGCAGGATCACCTGAAAAAGCACCATGAGACCAACTTCACGGCGGACAAGATGGTCATTGCGGCCTCTGGACCTTTCTATTTCTGAGCTGCTTTTATTATTGTCTGCTATGCTTGCTGCTTCAAGAGCACTTCTGTAGGGGTCCAGAAGTTTGCATGAAGCACAGTAGAGGGGCTCTATACGATGACTTTGGTGCCTCGTGTGGCAGGAGCTGTGAAGCATGAGGAGCTTGTGAAGCTGGCGGAGAAAGCCTTTGGTGGCGTCAAGGCTTCGAAAGGCTCTGCTCATTTTTTCTGGCTTCGGCCCTGCTCCAAGGCCGGCCCTCCACGCGTCTACAGCACCAAGCCCTACTTCTGCGGGGCGCAGGACGTGTTCTGAAACTCAGAAAGCCGTGTCGCAAGTTGGTGATCTCCTAAGCTCCTCTACCGCAACGACGAAATGGGCCCTTTGGCCTACATCTCGACGGGCTGGGAGGCTGTTCCCTGGAAGAGCCACTCGACCAGAGCACGGGGTCTTGACATTGTTTGAGATTTCGTTGTGACTCGTCTGAACTTCAAGGCCCGGACGCTGTCACCTTTATGGTGATGCAGGAGCCCGCCTACATGGTGTGAGATCATGTTCAGATATCGCTTGGTGTTCGACGTCAGGCCATTATCGGCACCTACAAGAAGAATGCAGGGTTGGTGCCCGGAAGCATCTCCGGCGTCTCGGCATGTCTGGAAAAGCATCTCGCTTGCAATTGTGGATGCAGCACTTGCAGGCAACCGCGTCACCAACGCTGTGGCAAACAAGATGGGTTCCGACCTCGAAAGTGCTTAAAGCCGTCGAAAGATGGTGTTTTTCGTCTGCTTTGAATACTTAGGCGTGGGTTGTGCCGAGGACTGCTCAATCCTGGAAAAGGGGTCGCAGAATCGCACCCCTGCCAGGAGTACGAATGCTTCATGCATTTCTACAAAGACACGGGCGTGCAAGGCACCCAGGATGCTGATGCTGCCGCACAACCAGGCTGCTAAGCTTTCCATGGACATTCAACGCTTCAAAAAAGGTTCGGTTGGTATATTGTTTGCGACGAGGCCAGCAGTAGCATGCGTTGCTCAACGCAGTTGATTGCAGCCTCATCAGTAAAACAGCACAAGCTTAAGAACAGAATTCCTTATGTGGAGGTCGCTGTCGAGCACGCTGTCGGCGAACTGATGTTTGGCTGCAACTTACTGTCCTTCTCTGTGACTGATGAGGAGGCTTGGTCCAGTGGGTTGGCATGGGAAGGCAGTGTTGTCAACGCAACTGAATCTGTAGGTGGAGCGTGCCAAGCGAGAACTGAAAGCAACACTGGTCAATGGCTCTGGCAGCACTCGAGACAGCTGCAACCAGGCAGGCTGAGAGTAGGCCAAAAAGGGCAGCACAGGAATTGTGGAATCTTACTTTCAGCTCTTCCTTCAGCTTGTAGGAAGCATCCAGGATTCGGCACACCCTCAGTCTGGCCTCTTAAGGACGTGTGTCGGATTGAGCAAAATGTGTGTAGGCAAGCAGGGAGAAAAGCTTTGCCGACAGGTGGGGAAAGAGGTCTTGGCCTATGGACGAGGCGTTCCCCCAGCAGAGATGATGTGCAGCCTGGCACGGTTGCTCGTGATTGTCCAGGTGACTTTCCTCAACTTATGGCATGGCTGATATGCTCTTGTTGCTCGCAGAACTTGTTAATTTATGTCTTGACATGGCTTGAAGCGCTAGAGCTGGGGAGAGCCTGCCATTGCACAGTGGTGATGCGTCCAGTTAAGCCGCCGATTGAAGTAACTGTGAAGTCGCGCGATGTACAGCTGCACAACAGCTTGGAAACCAAATTGTTGCGCATCGTGCACATATCGGATACACATAGCGGCAGCTACGGTGGGCAGCTCCCAGACGGCGATGTTTTAATTCACAGTGGTGACTTTACCAACGGAGGAGATGAGGAGCCCGGCAGTGTTGCAGGATTTTTGCATTGGTTCTTGCAGGAGCGGCATCGCTACAAGATCCTTATTTGCGGTAACCATGAACTTCTGCTTGACAGGCGACACGACCTGGAAGAATACCTTGCGTGTGACACGCCCGAAGCTGCTGTCCAAAATGGCTTTCAGCGACCTGTTCTCTTAAACGATTCAGGAGTCTCGATCGAGGGAGTCATTTTCTATGGAAGCTCTTGGAATCACTGTCGCATGGCATGGTCTGCAAATGAACAAGAGCGAGAACTCTACTGGGCAAGGATTCCTCAAGATGTAGACGTGCTAATTACACACCAGCCGCCGCTTGGCATTCTTGATTTAGCCTGGCTTAGCCGTGGCTCTGGTTCGTATGAGTGTGCAATCTGTGGTGCTGGCACGCAGCACAAAGGCAACTATGCCCATTGGGGATGTGCATCGCTCTTGCAGCACGTCAGGTCTAGGAATATACCACTGCACTGCTTTGGTCACGTGCACGATGAGCATGGCTTCGTGCAGATTGCCAATGGTCCAAACTCATCTAGCGCTGTAACGACGTACAGCAATGCTGCAATGGATATCTATCGGACTGCGAATGTCATCAACTACGAGTACAGGGCCACAAGCACAGTCGGCCCCGCAAAGGCTGCATCTCCGGTAGCAGAACCTGTTGGTCCGTTCTGGATGACAACGGGCACCGGGCAAGTAGTTGACATCGATGCTGACCCCTCCTTCAGGAACCAAAGGGTGTGGCTCTGGAAGAAGCTTCGACCAGCAGCGAACCAGCTTTGGTATGCCATGCCTTGTGAATCTGCAAGCCACTTTGTTGTGGTGAGTGCGCTTTCACAATCACCCCTTCGTGTGAATCCGCGATGCTTGTATGCAGTTAACCATCGGATTCTGGCCTTGACGGAAGCAGAGGCAGCCATGGCCGCCCGTATGGAGGAATGCCGTCCTGTTCTGCTACCAGAAGCAACGGTCTCTGCAATGCAAAGAGGGCCTGCTCTCGTGACAGTTGGCCACTTGCATGTAGCTGTGGATCATCGCACTTCAGAGCTGATCCTACAAGTGGAAGATGCTGTCCGCGTGAAGCTGGAACTATGCTGACTTAGTTCGGCCAAAAGGCCGAGATCTCTGGTTTCGCAGCTGCTGGTCTGCGTCGTTGCAGTGCAGACAATGTGCGACTGCGAGATCTGCATGAAAAACTCCAAGAGTAATGCTTCTTGATCATAGTACTGCTTCTGCTTTCTGCTGGCACTTTCACGTAGCCGGCCTTGCCAGGCTCCGCATTGATGGCGTTGATGCCGAAGAGGCCCGTCGATGCCGAATTTGCGTTTTCATAGCAATTGGGTGACGTTGAAGGCGCATCGTTGATGCCAGGTTAAGCGCGTGGCCTACAAGTACCTGAATGACCAGGAGGCGCAGCACCTCGAAGGGAGCTATGCAGCTGCCATGACTACAATGACTACAACTGCAAAGCCGTTCATGTGAGCCATGTGACAGATCTCCGTCACTGCCCTCGGCCCGCTGCACGGCATGCCAGAGCTTTACATCATGAGGCAGGCCACCACGAACCGCGGCGGCAAGCAAAGCTCAGCATATCTGAGGATGTTGTGTGGTTGTTGTGTAGATGTCATGGTGCCTGAACATGGATGACCCCACTGGTACTCGAGTGTCACAGCAGTTTCCTGGGGCTCAGGACTGGGTGAGTTCAGTTTTATTCTTTCAGGCCCGTCTATGGAGTTGTTGATGTAATGACTACAACCACCCAAGACGTCTTAGATTGCTGCGAGTTGGGTTCGCCCAGCTTTCAAAGCCCGGAAGAAGGAACGTTTGAGCATCAAGCAATTCAATTGATGTGGGGATCCTGAACGGCTTGTTGAGTGGCAAGGCAACTGAATACCAACAAGAGGCCCCTCGTGCAATGGAGCAATGGGAAACCAAGCCAAACTTTTGGACAAACCGAGGATGGTTCGCTATTAGATTCACTGTCCGCAACTCAGTTTGAGAAATTGCTGCGGGGGCCGCTGCGAGCCTGCTCGTTCTGTCCCCCAGGCTGATTTTTTTTCGAAACGCCTCGTTGCTCAGCCAAGCTGCAGACTCAGGGTCTACTGAAAGGGTGGCAGTTGTTACGAGCCCTTAATTCTCTTCAGCTGGATACGTCAGTGGACAGGTATCGAGTTAAGATTTTTTCCAAAATGCGAATCATTCTGACGTGCGCCGTTTTTATCTGCAAGATTGGGGTCAATATACAGGTTGCCGCGTGGATTTGCATGGCATGTTGATTCAAGAGAGACTGTGCCAGCAGAACCAGGCGCTTGCACTGAGCGGATGAGTCGCCCACGATTTGGTTCCACATAGAATGGAATGTGTTCCTCGTCGTTGAGATGACTTCAAGGAAAAGCATCCAAGACTCAAGCTTAACATTTGATGAATATCTCTTGGACAAGTGCAGCAAGGAGAACTTGTGGCCACGAGGCTAGCCTTGCAGACATAGTAGCAGCTGTAGCAGCTCTGACTAGCAGACAGAGTCTTTAGTCGCTTCGTTTTGTTGGTAGCAAGTCAGCTTGGGCCACGAGCAAAAAGTCTCGGCATGCGTGTGATGCAATGCCAGGGTTGATGGGTCGGTCAAGATCACTGGTGGAAGCTGAAGTCAGACCAGCACGTGAGAAGAATGGTAGAAACCTTTTGTCATCGCGGACCGGCTGCATCAAAGTAAGGCTCCGTGTTGCTTGTAGCTGGACGCCCCTTGGTTCACTCCTGCTCTGCAAGAGTTACCTTTTCAATGAGACAATCGCCATGGTACCGTACTGTTACTGCAGGGTTCGCAGCCAATAGTTCAACTTGCATGTCATTGCCTCAGCAAGCAAAGTTGGCAGTCGCAGTTTTGCGAGAAGGCAGGAAAGCCTGATCTGGCGTTGTCCCGAGCATCTCCGAATGTCAGCTGCTGCAGGATTTGTCACAATGTTCGCAAAGGAAGCTGGCAGCCAATGTGTGAAGTGCATCAGCACCAGGGCGCAGCAAACAGCCGATTTTTATCATAGTGCTTCTGCAGAACATAACCACCACAGAAACAGAATGAGTTCCCTTGACAGGTCCGTGGATAAACTTAAGCAAGGGTGGCAGACTTCTGTTCTCAGACGACTGGACGACTCTCTTCTAAGAAGAATACTGCTTTGGTCGGATGTGTGTGTGTGTGTGAGAAGGTTATCATCACAGAACCTCACTTCGAGACCAAGTGACTTACAGACATTTCAAGCTGTCTTACATGTGGGTGCCCCCCCTGCTAACTGCCTGGTCAACAGGCCATAGAGTGCCGTGGCGTTTTCCGACTGAACTACTTTTTGGAACAGCTAGAGTATGGGTTTCAACTGCTGAAGAAGCTCGTCAGATGCATTCAGAAAAGTCTTCTGCCTGAAGCCCTGTTGGTAGGCTTTCAGCATCTGTTCCAAGGAAGCAGGCAAACATGAGCTTGTATGCCCTGCTAACTAGCCAAAACCATTGTGACGTGCACTCTGATGAAACGACATGTCGTAAAGACGCCGTGCTGCTGTATCGGCCGGCATGACCGCATTGCATCCCCGCCAACCCCGTTTTCCGAAAATGAGATGAACTGCAGGGGCCTGAATCCTGGAACCCTCAAAAATGCAAAATGTTTGAGAATATTGAGAATTGGCTGAAACCTCACTCCCGATTGCGGCAACTTCCTATGATGGATGTGGCCACTGCCTGCCGCCATCAGGTTGCAGCATGCACCGCTTTACGTATAGCTTGCTACCATCCCATGGACGGTTCATAATTGCACCGCTGAAGATGCTAACGGTTTTTATCGATTGTTCGACAAGCTATGATCCAGTCTCTCATGAGTTGCACGCCACCACCAATGAAGTCCGCTCCAACGGGCCATGGCAGCTGTCTGGAGCTTGCAATGTTCAGCAGAAACAGAAGCTGAATGGGAGAAGAGTCAAGGTATCTCCAGTTGGCCAAGTAGTCCAGCTGTTGCTTGCTGCAGCGAGCGGCGATGCGCGGGCAAATGGCTGAGAGGTCAACACACTTGCTTGACATGGGGGCAAGTAAGTGTGGTTGAAAAGGTCCGGCAGCCTGCGCATGAAAGGCTCCAGGAGTTAGAGCCCAACCCTCAGAGCAGCTTTCAGGGGAGGCGCAGAGTTGAAGAAAAGCAACATGCTTGGGCCGGTTGCTTCAAGGAATCGACTGGGTGCTGGATTCGTGCCACTACTCTTGGATGCTTATGTGGAGTTCTCGGGAGTTGGATGGCTGCTGTAGCAACAGTGCATGGCGTTAGATGCTGATACGCGCCGCTGCAAGGCGGACACCTCCGTAGAGGCACAGGGAAGGTATCTTGCGATTCTGATGTGCAAGAATGTCTGGGACCAAGAGCTTTCAGTTAAGACAGCATTTTCAGACTTGCTGCCTCAGCTTTGAGAGAGAGCCAGAAGCCGTAATGCAGAGTTGTTCGAGTTCACCAGAGTTGCACCATCTTGCGTTGCCCTTGACCTAGCATCCCTAGCATTTGAAGCCACATCGGCATGAAGCTTCCACGAAGACTCTCTTTGTGCAAAGGTTGTGGACCGTCACTGGCAGCCACGCGGCCGACTGCTTACCCTAGTTCTGCACAGGGTGTCGTACGAAGAGCATTGCTTGAGGACGGTCCCTTGAATGAAGCCAGATAAGGGGCCATCGAGCAGCATTAACTCAGCTGGCCGTTCATGCCGTTTGGAGGAAGCTAGGAGGAGGGTTCCTGGGCTGAAGACATGATGTTGGCCAACGGGTCCAGCCGGCCTCAATGCATGTCTGCAGCCCTTGTGCCAAAGCCTTAGCGACAGATGCACGGCTGGTACAGCAGCCCCGGCTGGTGACCCCAACAGTCGGGTCGCTGAGCCAGGCGCGGGATGGCAGGTTCCCTGTCAGCAAAGGCTGTATGTTGGATCCCACGTTGAACTTGGAACTTCAGACTGTCCTTTCAGGTCACAAGTGGATGCCACAAGCTGGCAACAATTGCCATGTGGTGTTCGCTTTGTTCAATGTAGTGCTCTGCTGCCGCATATTGCAGCATTCGGAGCCTTGGCGAAAGCTTTTGGATTTTGTGTGCATTTTCCAGCACGGGCCAGAAGGGGGTACTGCCAATATGGGTTCTAGGGTTCTTCAGATGAGGAGGCTGCAATGCACTGGGTGCAGCTGGTGCAGCTGCTCGTCTTCCTTGCGGCCGGCTTGGGGCTCTCAAAGCTCGCCTCAGCCTCCTTTGATGCTTGGCCGGCATGTACGCTTGTTTTTGGTGGCCCGGCTCGTGTCCTAAATTATATTTGTCTGCCTCTGCTTTTATGAACGTACACGTCTGAGTTCAACTCTCAAATCTGAAACCTGCCCCAAACCAAATTCCCAAACTCAAACCCTTAAACCCCTCCATAAACCCCAACCCGTACTAGAACCTGAAGCTAGGTTAAACACTCCAGAAGCTAACATACAAATCCACAATCCAACTCTGAATTTTAAACCCAAGCCTAGGCTCTAAACCTTGACCTAGCCCAACCCTGACGCCCAAACCTAACCCTCAACCACTGTTTGAGCTTCCCCCCAACCGAGCAAGCGGCTTTGAATCTGGTTCACCCTAAGCCCTGAACCCTTACCCTAGCCCCAAACCTCAAAAGCAGTCGCATCCGCTTGCGGTGTTTGACGCGCCTTGCCAGAAGAAATTCGACATGCCGTGAAGGGAGGAAGAAAAAGGCGCTGCACAAACAACTTCAAAGTACGCCCTAGCCCTGATTCCAACCTCCAACCCTAGACTATTTACCCTAAAGTCTGAGGCCTTAACCTGCCAAGTTACAGAGCCAAAGGCAGGTGGTCCGCGATGATGTTTAAGGTTTTTCCGAACCGATCCCTGAGCTTCTGACAAATCATGGGGAAGAGCATTCTGGATCATGTTCCTGGCAGCTAGCGGTTCCTGGAGACTCTGAAAAGGCGTTCCCAATCTGAGGTGTAGCAGGGGTTGAGGCGAAAACATCATTCCATGTTGGTATGTGGTTTCCGTAGATATCCAGACGCGCAGCGACATCATTCTGCGTGTGAAAGTTTTCTCCTCGGTTGTGGGATTTTGGAGACCGCCAGAAAGGGCTTGGGTAGACGCCTTTGCACAGCATGGCCTTGACATAGGACGACCAGTGCGATTATCTGCTGTGGCGGAGTGCGGGTAGATCAGTGCCATAAAGCCTGCAGAAGTCTGTTGCAAGGGCAGAAGTCTATTGCAAGGGATGCCCATGGCCAATAATCTGGATGGAAGCCTTTCTTGGGCACAAGGTCGGCTCTGAAGGCATTCTCGGTCCAGTCCACGCTATCCTGTGGAATGCAACGCTGGTTTGGGAACACCCTTCCCAACACCTCTGCTAGGGGCTGGTTTGGGGACAGCTCTGGCAACAACCTCTTCTTCCCTTCAGGCTGGTTTTGGAACATTTTTGAACACGTTGCCCTTTACGAAATGTGGGGCCAGGGCCAGGGCCGACCTTCGGAGGTCACAAAAACGCTTAAACTTAATATGGCTTGATAGGGTGTTCCAAGAGGTGTTCCGGAAAATGTTTCGGAAAAGGGCTCCTGGACAACACCTCTCCTCGGGGTGCCCGCTGCCAGATGCAAACAGATTTTGTCGAAAATGGGCCAGATGGCCGGCATAGCCAATTGGAAGCAACAGCTCGTGAAGGTCCGTGGGAACCAGCTGTTCGGTTGTTGTGTGCACAAGGCCTCTCATGGAGTGAGAGTTCACTTCCGTGCGATGCCCAGGTTCTTGAAGGGAGCAAGGCGCCATAGGCAATTGCTGGATTTTGATCCCACGACAGAATGACTCAGAGCAGAGCCCACAGCAAAACGCGGATTACTCTCCAGCTGTCCGGATGCATTGATTTTTCTAGGAGATCAGTCTGCAGACATCATGCACAGGCGCACACCATCTTGGCCTGTGTGCTTCATGTGCTGAATTCACTTCTTTGGCAACAGTTTTCCAAATTCCTTCCGAATCAAGAATACCTATCCTCACATGCCTAGTTGTCTTTGAACTTTAATCCCATAATCCCAAACCCTGAACAACCCCAGGCCCTGACCGCCTTAAGCCTACCTGACCCTAAACGCCTCCAAACCCCTCCATACAGTAAACCTTAAGGCATTGCTAGACGGCTAGACCAACTTTCACCATTAATTCATCTCCAAACCCAAAACCCAAGCCCAAACCTCGCAAAATCTGAGCAAAAACAGTGTCGTCAGAGAGGCAAGAAACCTCAAACAAGCGCCCAGGGGAACCAATACAGACGCAGAAAAGAAGCATTGATGAAACTCCTACATAGCCAGGATTCAAGGGCAGGTCACAGGAGGTGAGAGTCACGGCTGCCTGAGGTTCCGGTGGACATCGTGTACAGCGCTTTTGCTTTTCTAGCCGCTTGCTTTCAAGAGGGTATATGGGGGAGCTTGTCATGTTCTGAAAGCCGAGGCTATCTCGTATTGCGATTATGCTCGCAGCAACCCGGGCACTGTACCAAACGACACCTTACTCCTTGCGCAGTTGATGCTCATCAGCTCAGGGACCCGGGCATCTGTGTTGATGGCATGGACAGCAGGGGTATCCGCTTCACTACATGGCAGAGCACTTTTACACCTGGAGTCTTTTTTATTATTGTGGTGCGGCTTTGGAGACTTGGCCTGTGATATGGTGTCGGCTTTTCATAGGCATCCACGCCATGAGAGTCACAGCAAGGGTTTGATAGAAGGCAATGGGTTTACGCAAGCAAGGCATTTGGATGTGTTGCTTTCCATTTGTAGGAAGTTGTTTGTACTGTGGTTGTGAGTTCATCCTGAATTTTGCCAAGCAGCAAAGCGCAAAAGGAGCAACCTGCTCTGGTTGATGATTGCCTTACAGGCTATTCGCGTGCAAACGGCTCCAGCACGCTTTGACTGTCTGAGGTATGCATATTCTTTCTGGTCAAGCGAAGAAGCCACAGCCCTTGACCGACGGTGAGCATAATCGCCTACAATTCAAGAAGTGTTGCTTGGTTTCATCAAGGACGAAGTTGGTTTCTGAAGCAACTAAGCCAAAGCACGCAGGCTCTACAGCTGTTCCCTGCCAGTTTCGAGGTGACAAGGAACACATGAAAATCACTGGGGGCGTGATCGGCCTGTTGTAGTCGTGTAGGACCAGTGTCCTGGGTCTTGAACTTTGTCAGTTTGTGAGCATGAGGTCTACAGCTTGTCCTGCAGCAAATCCGTGTTCCTCTGCAGCTTGCCCAGTCTGACCTTGACTGCATCTCAACTACAAAAAAGGATTCCTTTGAGCTATCGCAAGCCGTGCTGCTGGCAAGATCTGGGAGATCAGGTAGCAATGCAACCGAGCGTGTGAGAGCACGACTCCAACAGATTTGGGAGCTCCTCTCGGGAGTCTTGGGCCTGTTCAGAACATGACGGAGGGATGGAGGGAGATGGAGGGATGGAGGGAAGTGCACACATGTCAACTAAGGCTTGGATGGCCATTGCTCCAAACAACTGGAAAGTGCCATTGCAAAGGAATTGGGCTTGGACTCCGATGGTCTCAGCCCACCTGGCCAACCCCAGAAGGCCCCGACACATGTATTGTCTTTGTGTTTAGTAGGCCCAGGTAGGCCTTGCTTCTCAAAGGCAAGGAGCAATTTTCTTCATGTCCGAGACTGACGTGTCTGAACAACATCAGCCTTTTCTTTATGTGACGGGAGAATGCTGGTGTTGCTGAATCAATGTTTGAAACCTTTTGCTGATGATGGCTAGCTCCAACGAGCCGCATGAGATTGCCGGCCGCCAGCACACCGTGACCATCCTGGCTTGACATCAGCAGTCTGCTGACCGAGGTGCTTGGGTCGTGGTCGGAGCTGGATCGGGAAGCTTGTCTGCAAGCATTTGAAGACACGGTCTGAGAGGAGGTACGAGAGGTAGACATTGGCATCCAGCTGCATAACTTTGTGTGATTGGGAGTGATAACATAGTTTGCCAGTTTTGTTTAACCAGCCCCAAAGCGTCAGGAAGTGATAGGGCAGCATCAATTTGAAATGATCCCGAATGATCCCCCAACTCAACAGCAGATCGAACGCGTACATCTGTCATATTCTAATGCCTGAGCAACGGAAACTGAGGAGATTGCAAGACATGAACACCGCCACCGGGAAGGTGCTATCAAGACTTATCAGACTGAAGTGAGCACTTGAAGTGTGTTGCAAACTCCGAGACTCAGGGTCTCCAGAATCTTCGACGACTTTCGGCTCAGGGAGCTCCAACGAGGGTCGTTGGGAGAGCCTACCGGAACCCAATCTGAATGCAAATCTGAGTTTGCAATCTGCCTCAAACTCCATGTCCCCAGCATGAGTCTTTGCAAGGAATACGTCTCCCTGCAGCTCACGGTTGACTTGGAAGGACACAATTCTCGTGGCTTGTAGCTGCACATTTGCAGCGGTAGATGGAGCCGCGTTTGCCAGGAGAGTCCATGCCAGTGACCGAGGCTGACCTACAAACAGCTTTCTGCAACGTGCATGGCTGGGTTAAGTTGGCTACCAGCCGTTGATGTTCATGCTTCATCTGTGGTGTTGGTTTGTTATGAAAATGCTGGGTGGTGTCATCACCTGCTGATCACGTGCGGAACTGCGACGTATTGCAATGCATGATTGGTCGTCAGAGTTTGCTGGAAGTTCCTGGAGTTTGGTTTGTGGGGTATGCAGCAGTCTCGTCTGTTGACCTACACAGTCCCGGTTGAGAGGATAATATCAGTTTTCAGATAACTTGTGCACCACAGCTCCCAGCAAATTCCTTTGCCTTTTCATGCTCGATGGTTAGCTCAAGTCCTTGCCATGCTGCAAAGCTGATACGTTCAGTGATGGAAGCGCTTGCAAGCCGACAGAGTTCCCATCGTCACCGATATTCTGCTGGAATGCTTTCGTGCTGGTATTGTTCTGTTTGCGTGGATGATGCCTTGAAGACTAGTGGAAACTGTTTCCTTGTCGGTCTCTCTTCTTGGGATGCAGGCTGGCGTGAGCCAAAAGGGGACCCCAATTCCTCTGCAGGAACAGATAATCGACCTGCCAAAGGCAGTTGTGCGTCTTTCGGGCTTCCGCGCGCGTTAGGTAGAACGGCCTTCTTTCTTCTGAACCCTTGTGCAGGCACGTGGTGCATCAAACAAATGTGGGAAGATAAAGACGTGCGAAATTCTTTCTGAGGCACACAATGGCAACCCAATGCCTGTAACCTGTCAAATCGCCCAGTGGAGTAGGAGTGATCGTGTACTATTGCAGTCTCTTCCGACCCAGTGCCTGCAATTGAGCACTCTGCGAGGTGAAGCTATGCTTGGGTCAGCAACTTCAACTGTCACACTTCCTTCCATCAGAGAGTGCTCCCTGGCCAACATTATGGAGTGTGCAATGTTTCGTGTACTGGGGATTCAGTCTGCCCTGAGGACTGGCAGGAGTTTCGAAACTGGTTGGAGCCGGAAGTCAACCGTGCCATCCACATGGACAGCTGAAGATCTAGCACTTGTCATGGCTTTGAGTTATTTGCCTTCTATGGAACGTGCCCTGAGCATCGAGCGCTGCATGTTGAATTTTCATCGCAGAATTCCGGGCCTCAATATGAAATCTCTCTGCTGTACACTGCTCATTCAACAGGACGGCTACTTGCCAGACAGCACGGCCATCCCCTTGATTCTGCCCACTTTGTTGGATGGGCATCGCCTCAATGCTGGCGCGGGCGTTTGTGAGGGTTGTGGCAAGAAGGAAGGGACTCTTGTTGCACGGCCAGCGCAGTGCTAGATTCGGTTGCCTTTCTGCTTTTTTTGCTTGTGGTGTACTTAGAAGCGTTTCCATGTAGCCATGTAGCTCTACATAGCAAAGGGTTTGCAGCAGTGGCGAAATGGTTAACGCGCAGGCAAGTTGCAGATTACCTGCGTGCCAGAAAGCGACGAACATCTACCGAGGTGTGGTACTGCTCGAATCTTGTGAATGTTATCTGTTTGCAACGGGTTCCGTTTTCTGAAGCACTTCATGGCTTGATCGTCATGTTGCTGACTAGCTTGTTTCGAGTTTGTGCTACAAACTTGGGCTATTTATTCTGTGGTTGGTCTACTTGCAGATGTGCTCTTGTGTAACAGGCTCGCAGTGGAAGCTTCGCAGCTGGCTGTGTACACTTCAGCCCGTCCTGCCAGTCTGGGCTAGTGACGGCTAGTGAGAGGGCTCCTCATGACTCAGTATTACTCAGTAGTTTGAAAGACATGATACAGCCACACAGGGGCACTGAGGTCTCCCTATGCAGGCACGTCCAACCATGCAGGAAGTGCTTGAATGCCAAGACCTCCAACAATTCATTTGTCTTGCAATGATTGGACCAGCCTGGACAAGGCTTTTTCAAAATCCTCACATGCCTTCTTTACCCTCATGCGAGAGTAGCAGTGCCAAATGTGCTTCACGCCCGTTCCGTGGCAGGGAAGGAGATTTGAGCACATTTGAGCACCGAACAGGTTTTTCAAGATGGACACTCACGAGGGTGGCGGGACCAACCAATACTCTGGGTCAGGCGGTTGAGTGTCCAGAGTCCTGTTTATCGCGAAGAGCTTCTTTTCAGCCCTGCCCAGCTTGGCAGCACATGCTTTAGTCACCAGGCTTTGTGTAGACATCGTGCGAAGGCACAGTACCAAAAGGCAGACAATTCGAAGCAAGCTTCACTGCGTTAGGGAGGGAGAAAACTTTTGCCCACTTGCAGCCGCGGACCAGCCGTGCTGCGCACCATGCTCGGCTCTTGACAGGTCGTGCTACAGTCGGAAGTGCCTTCGCACCATGATGTATGCAGACAACACAGACGTACTCGTATGCATGTACGCCCAGGATGTTGCATTGGCTGCAGGAGGTGTCCACTCATCCCTCGGCCATACTGCACATCAAAGAACTTTAAGAATTCAATCCGCAAGGTTGGTGGCCACTGTCTGATCATGATGGATCGAGACCATCCAAGAGCTTTTGAAAGACTTAGACACAAGGCGCTTGGGTGTCTTGTCCCGCAGCCGTACGACATCCACAAAGCACCAGACATGGGTTTTGACACCTTCCAGGAGCACTTGCTCCATACCCAGCCTCCTGCAGAGGCAGTCACCACAACCAGCAGCATACCTTTCAAAGATTCAATACTTGGCAGCGCATTGTTGCCGCAAGCAGACCACAAGCTGGCCGTGGGGGACTTCAATAATTTGAATTCATTTAATTCCCGACAGCCTTCAGTGTGTTGATAGGCCGTATGGGTGCTCTCTGGCCGCCGTGGAAAACCGGCGGCCTCGAGTGAGCCACGGTGTCTTTTCCGGATGCACCGAACGCAACTGAAGGAACAGGAGACCGCAACTTGGGGTAAAAGTGGTACTGCATTGCACACCTTTCAGCTGGCTATGAGTTCTTTGCTTTGAAGTCGACATGCGCGCACAGGCACCGACAATCAGTTGGGCTGCAGGATGTTCACATGAGGATCGAAGCCAGCTCTTGTGTTTGCCATCAGGGCCTTGACCCAGCCCAGGCTCTGGCAAAGCCATCTCGGCAGAGGAGAAGAATGCATTGCTCTCAGACCGGCCGCCGTCTGCCCAATGTAAGCCCCGGGATTCTAATCGCTGACAACCTCCGCGAGGCCATCAAGGAGCATCTCCTGCGTCTTGTCAAGGTTGGCACAGTAGAAACGTATGCCGATGTCTCTGCGCTTCCGCGATGTGAGGCCGCGACTGACGGAGGATTGCCGCACCTTCTGGAGCTGACAATGGCAGGGGCCCAAGAGGTAAGGCTGCGACATCCGCTTGTTGCTGCTTTACCTGCACTTGAAATCATCTGGACAGGGCAGGCAGCAGGCAAGGTGATCTCACTTGAGGTGTTGCGACGAGTTTGCAGATATGAGTTTCCAATGAACTGGGCAGCCGCCTTGGCATTAACCTTTTGCCTGTCACTGGCCGAAGAGACGGGTGATGTGGTATTGATTTTGTCTCGGCAGATCTGCAGCTGCATGAGGTCAGTGCAGACAAAGCACATTAGTGATAAAGAAGCAACGTCTGCTCGAGGACAGCTTAGCTCATCTTCTCCTGGCAGAGCTTCAGGACTGCCTCCTTCTGAGACGCGTGTAAAAAGTAGTCCGCTTAGTTTGAAGGGCTTGCGGGAGAGAGGGTTCAGTGAGGCTGTGCAGGACTCAGTACCGTCACGCGCACAAAGATTCAAAGCAATGAAGCTCAGACAGTAAGGCCCTGGCTGTGGTGCTCGTGCTGCATCAGGCCTCCTACTACTACTACTACTA